ATATTCTTTCAATAGTTAGTCTACAGGTTGAAATGTGTTATTAAAAAAAAAAAAAAGTGAAAGGTGACTGTGATTGATCTAAGATTTGGCCAAAAAAATACCACACTGCATTCTTTTGTAGAGAAAAAGCACACCACTGGAACAGCCCATAGATATGATTTATTCCTGTGATGTGTGAGTAAGTTCAAGTTACTTTGGAAGAGTTTTCTAGAAAGGCTAACATCGAAAGATTATCTTCATAGAGGGAAAGATTCTGAACCTGTATTCAGCAATACTTGAAAGCATAGCCAAGGACAGGTTATGGAGTAAAATAAACAGTATTTTGAGTGATTACAAACACTGGTATGAACTTATTTTAATTGACAAGTTACCTAAACCTGGAACACTGTACAACAGCCATATCAAGTTGTGGGTCTGGGCATCTTTTAACAAACAATTCAAGAACATCAATTGCCAAAGAAACGTGAACTGATGGCATGAGCTGTTTTAGAGGAAGCTGGCTCAAGTCTGTCTTTCTCTTGTTCTCAGGTTGGTAACTTCTTGCTGAATTGTAGCGAGTTGTGTTTCACTTAAAGCTCCAGACTGCACATAGTCCAAGGGCTCCAAAGCCATGGTACAGAAACCTGCAGCATTCTGAAACCTTGTTAGAAGCAGTACACAAGAGTAACCAAATGAACAGTCATCACCCACATTTCTTCATGCCAGAAGAATGCCCTTTTCTGCTGTAACATGGTGAATGCTAATAATCAGCTATTGCAGCAGTCCTTTCAGGGACATATTGTCTCCAAGTCTCCAGATGCTTTCCACTGTATTGCTCTCTTGCACGCAGCTGGCCGATTTTCTGTCAGATCCATATAGCTGTGATTATCAAGTTACATACCACACTGCAAAATTGCTTTTATTCTAAAACAGACACCTATAATGATCATTTAAAGACACTACCAAGTCTTTGAGCAAATCAAAAGGAAGCAGCTACAGAACTGAACTTGCTTTTATCCCCAGTCTGCACACAGTGAACATGCATGCAGTGACTGGGAAGGGGTTACCTATGTATATTAGAAAAAACACGTGACTTGATCAAGCAGCACCAAGTCTACAGACAGATGATGAGCTTTAAAAACGTTCAGTAGAACAGTTAAATACATGACCTGAACTAGAGCCTTATCCCAATAAGACAAGCCAAAAGGCAGCTCACTCAGATTCTTCACAGGAGTAAGATGCCTAGCAGACTGTTTCAGGTCAGCACTTGCCAAGAAATTCCAGTCAATGTTTCCCAACATCTACACTTATCACACAGTCCCCTGCATCATTCTGAGAGTTACTTCAAATCTTTTATTACTTCTCTGAATACCAGTAGCCAACGAAAGCAAAAGGCAATCTAGCCCAGTTTAATCCCAGGAAGAATTGATGTAAACAAAAATAAGATGGCAAAAGACTACCAAGTACAACTCAACAGCAAACTAATATATTCATGACACTTCCTTCTTATAATTTGAAGACAGCAGAAAACATGTGTGTCGGTTTCTGACACACTCAACTTGATGTTAACAAAAGCATGTTACAACACAAGCCAGTTAACACATACTTGAATCAAAGCTTCTGTTCCAAAACCATGACCACAAGAGCCAGTTTTTCCACTGTCACCATCTCACCCAGTGTTTCAGGCATTCAAGAACCAGGATCTGTTTGCCACTTTAGGTGCCTGTCCTAAATACCCCATTTACTGGCTACTGAACTATGGTTTCTTCTTTTTCATGAAAAGTTTCCAATGTTAGTTTTGTTTCTATCAGGTGGAGCATTGGAATTATTTATCAAGCCAATTTTCTTTTCCAGCCATCTCAAGTTCTAAGCCATTACTATTTTCCACAAACATTTAGGCATAGTGTGTATAGCAAGTTTACATATTGTACTTGTGAAAACACTTTTAATAGGATATACACCGTGAGTAACACTAAGTGCTTCTACACTGTTTTCCTATTACCTATATGAACCCAGTAATATGTTAGTTCATTTCACACCACTATTTGCCCTCTGCATAGTATGTCAAGTGACATACATGTTGGTGCTGGCTCTCCATTCCCACCCAAGAATAAGCACAGAAGCTCTGACAGATAAGCAGCCTTAGTCCATCCAGTTCCAGGTTCTCCTTCCCAGTGATCCTTGCAGCAGCAGTGGCTTGAAATGCACTCTCAGCTCCACAAGGAAAACCCCAAGGGCTCACAACTCACAGCACCCCATGGTCCTTTCCAGCGACGATAAAAGGTTTCAAATTTCATTCTCTGCATCTTCCTTGCATCACCTTCCCAGACACATGTAAATGTACCTGATAGCACTTATTTTGCAGAACTACCAGCATTTTACGTTAAGTTGTCAAGTCAAAAGATGATACATGATCTCCAGCTTCTTGCTACTATCTCACATCAGATGATAGAAATTAGTTAGACATTTACAAGTGCTGATTTCATCAGAGAACACTTAAGCCTCTGAACCAAAAGCAATATTCTGGGTGACTCTACTCAGCTACAGTCCATATAAAACAACATTTACTAATATGAGACCTGAATTACACAGAGAAAAAAAAAAAAGAGGCAGAAAACGACCACAGTTCCAGCTCAAACACTGATAATACAGAACACATCTTCAGTAGGAACTGTCACTTTTTAAGGAAGAAAACTTTTCATTTTTAAGTAGTCTGTATTGGTAATATCAACATTTCATCTCATCATAACTTAAGAAGTCAAAATTCTGTTGTCAGAAACCTGGGTGAATAATGGTAACACCCTCCATATTTGAACTGCAAACATGTTACAATAAGAAGTGAAACTTCTGCTCTAAGTAGATCAAGACAGTATCTCACCCAAACACTGGAACTGCGCTCACGGTATTAAATGTCTGTTCCCCTTTCTAATCAGTTGTTTTCTCTCTGATGCCCTGAGTAAGGTGGACATGTGGTTTACTTCTGTTAAATCTTTTACAATCACAAGGAACAAACCAGAAAAAAACATATTATACAGAAATATTAAGTACAAGAGTAAATCAAAAAGTTAGGGACATTCGTCAAGTTTGTCTTGGAAAGCTCTCAATTAGAAATATGTTTAAGTCAACACCATTCTTCTTTTCTTAGTTGTCTTACACCACTTTAAGACATTTCCAAGAACAATTCATGGGGAAAAGAAACCAGCTTTTAAAAGACAGATTTTCATATTTAAAGACTTATCATATCAGATTTGTTTGCTAAGTGTAAATTACTGTTCATACAGAATTAAAAATACCTTTGTTAAATCAAGCCAATATGTACACTTGTTTAAATTCCAGTTGTGAGTCAGTACACAAAAGCTATTGAAAAACATTGTTTCTTTCCAATGGAACAGGCAACAGTTCACAACCAACTCAACACTTCTCAGTCTCGGTCAGCCATGACTGATTTTTTTTTTTTAAATAAGCCATCTCTCCTTGTTCTTTACATTTCTTAGTATTTCAAGAATGAAAGCTGGGATTCAAAGTAACAAAAATAAAACACATAATACAATGAGGCCATTAATTACAATCTAAGTTGTATTATAACTATCTGAAAAACAGCATAAACAAATACATTTCTAAGATGTATAAGGTGAGGAAATAAAAAAATCCTTAGACACACGGGTATGAATACTCAAGAGACTAAGTACCTGATAGTCACCATCTGAGATTAAATACAAGTATTACTGTTCATTTTGTATATGAATTTAGGCTCACCTACAAAACAAAGCAACCTTTTTAATGAAGACTCTAGGGTAAATCATTCCAAACTGCCACCTATGGAGCAAACATTTCTTCACTGAAGAATTGCTTTCACACTATATTGAACTATTGAATATTAACAGGATGACAGAAGATAAACTTGTCCTTTCTGAATGAGCAGAACAAAAAGAGAAAACTGAGAACACTCTAACAGATCAGACAGTATTAATTTAAGTCTAACAGCAGGAGCAGACATGGATGCAGAGGTGTTTTTAAAAATTGCCTTGCAGAATACAAGAGTGTTATCCTGTTCACTCTTCACCAAGTATAGTACAAGAGCACTTGTGTGCATGAACCAGCCCTAGCAGACAATCTTCAGGAATGCAAGATGAAAGCAAAAGGAAACGCAGGTGCTAACTTAGGTTGACCCCAAGTGACTTATTTTAAGGCACATTATCTGAGCTTTTATACTTCCATAAGAATACTTATTAAAAGTCATATTAAGGCACCTTTATCACAAAAGCACTCTCAACAAAACTTAGGTAGGTGTGGCTCTATAGGTAACTGAAGCTCCTTTTACCACTTAACTATCAGGTAGGCTTTACTTTGCTAAATTAAAGTGCTGATCAAGCAAACATTAAAACTGTTGATTAAGTTACAGGATGATGCAGTTTCACATTCACGGTCAGTGTTCACATACAATGGTATTTTTACTTCTATCCAAGGTAAAAAATAGCCAAAGCCAAACTAAAACACAATAATTAATCCCCTCCTCCCCTCCAAATGTACAGATAATCTATGATATTTTGTTTGCTTTCACTCAATTTACACCAAAACTATCCATAAAAAGCAGCAGAAGCTTGCAGTCTTAACTTGGCTGGACAACTGAACTAAAGAAACAGCATAAGTTGGAAGCAGACTACAGGGAAGTAGCAAAATTTGGTCTTAGCAAATAATTTGCCTTTAGCAAAAGCATTTCTGATTCTGCCTAAGTGATTCACACTGCACTGGTCCAATGTATTTGCACTGCCAACACCACACAGTCTGTACACTGCCGAAGTACCAGGAACTGGATGCAGAAGCATTTTTTAATTTGAGGTAATCAACATATTAACAAATCTCTTTAACCCATTTACCGTCATGAGGCAGCCAACACCTTTATCGTTCCTTTGGTCATTTAACTGGACGTACATACTTCAACAGATACATAGAGAGATATTTACATATGTATACATAGGTATACATATATATGAGGTAGTGATGTTACAGATGTAACTTGCCTGCGTGAGAAATGAAAGGAACAGAACCAAACGGATCTTCAGGATGATTTTTCTGTGGAGCAGAATGGGGCTCCACATTCTTATCTGAAGATGCCCTCCTGTCCACCAGCCTGTCTGTAAAAAACAAAATGAAACAGAACAAAAAATAAAATAAAATAAAAATGGCAGGTCTTATGCCTATGCAAAGATATCTACTGTACAGAGTGAGGGAGGAATATACTCTCAATTAGGGATTTTTAGATGTTTTAAAGTTATCCTATATCCTGAATTCACACTCCTTGATCATTCAAGAAAAGTCACTTGCACAAACACATTGTTAATACCCCTGTCCCACCAAAAGCAGTATGTATGCAATGATGGAATACTTTAAATGAGGATCACTCTTGCTTATTATATGCAGCCTATGCACTCCGTAATAGAAACAACTTGTCCTCTGTGCTCTTGAGGTTTTGAAGTCAGAATTACTAAGCTTATTCAAAACACAAAATCATTCATTTTATCCAAGTCTTGCCCAGCCTTTGACACAAAAAGAGAAAAGTTGACAATCACAGCAAAATAGCTAGGAGTACTTTTTATTAAACCTGTAACACCTCAAAAATAAAAATTTGAGTGTCACGTAATATAGAGAAATGTAGTGTCTGTTTGGTATGGTCTTCAAACCTTAGGAGACTGTTTTTTTAAAGAATCTTTTTTTCTTTCAGAAGACACATTAAAAGGTTTTTAAACACAGCCACAAATTCAAAGCACTAGGAATGGTAAATACAATTTTTTCTGTCTAAGCTATTATTCTAAACCAGCTGCCTACTCGAGATCCAGCCCATCCAGCCTAACCACCACACTGCAGCTCAGGAGGGTCCCAGCAAGGCCTATCAGCCTTAACAATACCATGGTGACAAAGCATTCCACTTGCCGCTAACATCCTACATCCTCTGTGCAGAAGACACAGCATTTTGCTTTCCCCTTTTTCCACAGCAAGCAGCTGCTCTTCCAAACAATCTGAAGCACCACTTTCTTGACAATTTGTAAAGATAGCTCTGCTCTGATTACGTACCAAGCTACCTGCAGGTTTTCTATTCAGTCCTTCAATGCAGCAGCCAGGAGGCTTTGCTAAAACAACCACCAGGGACTAGACAGCAAGCTAATCTACTTCAGACAGATGCATATTAACTGTGTACAAAGCCCAAGAGTTTTGAAATTACATGCCAGTTTTAACAGACAAGTGTTCTGTTCTTATTCAAGTGTCCATAATTTGAGTTGTCTGACACTTACCTACTTTTAGAAGTACAAGTGGGAGTTGTTCTATTACAGACAACCCCCCCTTAAAATATAATCCCAACTGGGGATTCCTGGTACAGGAGACTAAGTAGTTGCTCTTACCTCAACATACACATATTGAAATAGGCAGAGACTAACCAACCCGAACAAAATTATCCTACAGTGACACAGCCACACAGAAGATGAACAAAAGACTAGCAGCTGTATGTTTTATATCATCAGCTTTGAGCCTTGAAGACAAACAACTGCCAAGCATCATATCCAACAGCAGTACTTATTTCTGTTTCTGACCAGTCATATCCATATTGCTTTCTCTCCTCAGGTTCTGGGTTTTGGTTTCAGGAGGGTTATGGGTTGATTGTTTGGGGGAGGGGTGTTATTTTGTTGATTTGGAAGGGGTGGTTTGAGTTTTGTCTTCGAAGAAATGTACATGACCTTCATCTTGCATCTTTACAAATGCAGACTGAGGGATGCTTTTGTTCTATTATCCCTAGTGTCTTGCCTCCAGAGGAAAACCAGTCAACAGCCACACAGCAATCAAACTCTAGAGCAATTTTTCAGGTTACAACAACTTGAACTGTCCTTTGGAGAGTCCTTGCAAATGCTGGCTTGCAAGACTATGCAAGTTCAAGCCCCTAGATGATGATCAGATCTTCCAACTTGAGAAGCAGGGCTTGGGATAGCAGAAAACAAAATGGATTGAAATGCTAAGCATGCAAGAAAAATGAGGGAAAGTGAGTAAATACAAGGTTTCAACTCCTCCATGGCACCTAGGAATACATGTACCAGGATACATCTCCCTGGAAAATGAATTTTAAAATTTGTCAGTTCAGCAAATCTAAGGCTATTTCTTGGAAAAGGACGAGCCATTTTTCCAGTCTTCTGAAGCACACAATTTGTCCACCTTGAAACACAATCCACTTCTCTTTATCAGAGAATGTTTGGAAAAAAAAAAAAGAGACAGTGATGGTTTCTCCAGCTTCACACAAGCAGAAATAGATTCAGTGGGACTGTTAGTATTAGATATTATTGTGCTTCAGATTCAACTTCCTAAAATAAAGTTCCAAGGTTTTTTACCAGCAGTAAATAATCATACAAATATGCAGCCCAGACTACTGCGAGAGACACAATCACGTGCCACGTGGTACAGTGGACCCTTCCATAGAAAAGTGCAGTTATTTAAAACTACAAACAAGGAAACCAGCTTTTTCCATCGAATTGACAGGTCCAAGATCCCTCAGGAGACAGCTCTCTTGGGACTTGTACACAAAGCAAGACTGGAAAGAACCACAGCTCTTTCCCGCACAAGTGGTCTAGGTAGTTCCTTCATACTGTACATGCCGCAAAGGCGATGGATGGAGAGCTTCGTAGGCTTTGCACCCACAGGTGCATCTGTTGCAGCACCGAGATGATTCTGGGCCTAACAAGAATATTGTTCAATTCAGTGTGAAGGCTGTGATGGTCATTTTTCCCAGTGAGAAAGCAGACCCATCTTGGCTCCCAGTTCTGCACAGAGTAAGTGGTTACAGGAGTTCTTTGTAAGAAATCCATTTCTTGACAACGTTGTCAGAACCTCTGCATCACATGTGCTTCAGGACCAGCATTAACACCCATGATGACAGCCACAACAGAAAAACAGTGTACACAAGAACTAGGAACTCCATACTGTAACTCCCTATCCAAGTTCTCCACAAAAGTGCTCACAGTTCAGAAATTTTCATCCAGTTACACATTACATTTTATCACATCTGTCATCTTTTTGCTATGAAAACTTTCACAAAGAGTAAACAAGCTATTCTGTTCTATGAGTTAGCTTCCTCTTTAAAGGAAAAGCGATTAATCATCACAGCAATACCCATCACTACATGCACTATGACTTTAAGCTACTAAATGCATGAAATCTAACAGTAATATTAACCTGACAAATTATGACATCATCTTGATCCACTAACAAAGGCTGTGTATATTTAATTACTCATGTATTAGTCATGAACACAACAGCTTTTAAAATATCTGACAGATTTTTAAAAAAACATTTGATTTATGTATAAAGCATCAGCTCAACAATACAAAACAGGCTTTTGGAAATGGAAAAAAGGATCAATGTTTTGCATGCTACTCAGCACCACACTATTTGACAAAAAGACAAACACAACACTGTACATGAGTTATAAAGTACAGGACAGCAACTCAGTTTAGTAACAGAGAATGTAACAATCAAAACTGTATCTTCAATTCTCCTTCCTCTAGATGGCAAAATGATTCACAGAAAGTTCAAAAATTGAGCACAAAAATTACTCAGTAATAAACAGTTTTCTCTCATAAGAAATAACCTACATCTGAAGAGAATTAAGCCTTGACCCTTAAGATGTATCTGAGGAAATTCCAGGAATAATTATACAGTTAAAGACAATTTTACAGGTATAAACCTTAATGGTACAATAAATCTCACAACTTCTCATTAATCCACTTAAGTTTGAGAAAGTACAGTAGACAAAATTAAGTATAAATATTTCTGATTTGACTCCAGTAAAGGCATTAACACTGCAAGGTAAGATCATACGACCTATGGCACAACATCCTTAATATAAAAAAAACAGTTGAAAGGTTTTTGAAGTCTTTGATATACGTATCTTTGTGTAGGCAGAAACACACATACGCTGAGATTAAAACTAGCTCCCCCTCCATTGGACCTCTTGACAGAAATTAAGTCAAAAGCCTAAAAAAGCTGTAGGTGCATCTCATTATGTATAAGCAAGCCTGCCATCTAGTGTACTAATCGGTCAAGCTAGTAATTTTTTAAATTATGTTTTCTGTATTCAAGTGACTAAAATCCCCTTTCACTGGTTATTACCAAGCAAAACTGTGCCATTACGTTTAACTTTCTGATACAGCATATGAAGCTTATTATCACCTCCAGCTCTTCAGTGCACTGAATTATCTTTACTAAGATATGTGCCAAAAACATGCTTAAGTAGATTTATTCTTTAAAAACCCCAAAACTATTTTTACATGTATAGTATAAAAAAATTGATAACAGAATATAGCAGTAATTGTTCCTGCTGCTAGAGACTTAGAGACAGCAGTTAGCAGCGTTTAGCTCCAAGTTATTCAGGCCTTCACTAAGTCTGTCTGCATGAAATTCAGCATTTTCACAGAAAGAGCTATCAAGCATTGGAACAAGTTGCTCAAGGAAGTGGTTGAGTCATCATTCCTGGAGCTATTTAAAAGATGTGTAGACCTGGCACTTAGGGACATGGTTTACTGGTGGACTTGGTACGGACAAGTTAATGGTTGGACTCGATCTTAAAGCTTCTTTCAACATAAATAATTCTATGATTTTTCTATTTCTCCAGCGTGCTAGAACCAGCCTATTGAGCTACTCCAGGCAAGCTTATTTCTTGTACAGCATTTTCCAGCTTTTTTGTAAAGCCACTTGAAATAGGTCCTTTGGTTAATATCATCTTCCATACTTGTATGTGTTCAAAACCTGTGGTTTAATTAAAAAAAAATCCAATAAAACTTACCATAACTACAGTCAGAAGTCCAAAAGTCAGTTAAAGATTCTGGAAACAGGTAATGTGCTAACCTTTTGGTTCAAAAGCTAACATTCTCCAGATTCAAGAGTGTATTATTTCAGAAGACTTCTAAAGCCTTCAATTGGAAGCAGCGTACCTAAAGATATTCCATTCTACTACTAAATAATCTCAAATTCTAAACTTGGATTCAGAAAGAATGCTTATTTTTCAGCTGGTATTATTTTATCCCTTTTCCTCAGCTAGCAGTAAATCATTGTACTCCAAAATGTGTGCAGGCTACATCCACATCTCAAAAGTAGGAGTCTTATGTGGTCAACACAGGATACAAGCAAAAACAATCAACTGGAGTTTCACAGAAAACCTCCAACCAGTTACTTTCCTTAAGGATTATCAGTTACTGCGCACATCTTGTTCAGCTACGTTTGAGGACACAGAAATCCAAGAAAAAGACTTAGCTGAAGGCATTTTTTCTAATTACTTGAAATTCAACTTTACTGCATTTTTAATTGCAAGGAACTTGCTGATACTCAGCCAAGTAAGCATATACAATCTGGTTTAAACATTGCATATCTTACAAGTCTCACTAATAAATCTGATCTTGACAAAACCAGTTTTAGGAAAATCATCTCATGAGCATGTGTTAAGCAATTAAGACGAAGAAGTAATTTCAAGTAAAAACCATTGAGATAACTGACTTGAAGAGGAAAAAGTTTATTCAACTATTGCCATATCAGAACAACAAAGCAGCCCTTACATGTAGCCACTCATCAGAAAGGACATTACAAAACATTAACATAATGTAATAGATCAGTTTTCTTTCAGGCATTTTCAAAGGACAAATCAGACCCACAGACTCTTCTGCTCTGGTGTGCAAGAAAAAAGCTGTAAAGGAACAAAGCAAGCAGCCAAACTTTTCTTCCTATCTGACAATATACCTCTGCTATTCAGAGCTTCTTGACAATCAAGGTGACACAAGCAGTATTTAAGAGCTAAGTTATTACCATTACTGCAGTATTTGAGCCCGTAAGTACCAATTTTAGACAGTGAGTTCCTATTGCACACATTTTCAAAAAGAGAAAGGAAAAGAAAGAAGACAGGCCCAGCTCTGCCCTCAAATGCTCAGAAAGAATTTTCTGTACACAGACTGCATGGCCCTTCGACAGGACAGGTGTTGGAACTGCTGAGCAACTACAGAGCCCTTATTTACTGTGAAGCAAAATAAGCCTTCAAGTGTCCCTTACTTGTTCTTAGCAGGTCAAATTCTCTGTCCAGCAGCTCCTCCTCTGTCAACTTGGAAAAATTGTCCTCTCCAAATGGGTTCCAGCCTGACATATCAGGTGGGTTATTAATGCTCTGCTTTGGGTAACTGGCAATTGCTTCAGCATCAAGAATACGTGGCCTGTAAAGTAAGTTCATGGAAGCAAATAGAAAAATTACAAGATTGTTTATCAGGGTGAAAATCTTTAACAGGCTTTATTAGGCCAAAATACTACATACAAGTAACATGCATACATTAACAGCTTATCCCAAAAGCATCGGAAAGCTAACTTAAGGGAAAACAGATCACTTGAAATATGTGGTTTGATCACATGATTTCTTTATGCAATCCTTGGAGTTTCATTATTCAATTTATTAATTGTAGCCAAAGCACAGAACCCTTCAAAGTTGACATGCAATGGCAAAAACTCTATTCCACCTGTGGTCATTTCTACATTGCCATAGGAGACTGACTTGTTTTCCTCAAAAAAAACCCCTACTAAGTATGTTAGAAGTTTTCATCAGTTCTCTTTATTTTCATATTATTTCTTCTTGGCAGACACATTAAGTGCCTTTAAGGTCTACATCCATCCAACTGATAGAAATAACTGAACCAGTTGACATAATAGCTTCTGCTTGTATTAGTCTTATCTACACAGATAAACCTTTGACCAGATGGGGTTTTCCTTTCATGAAAGTTTAGCAAATTACACCTACTACTTTCTCTGTTTGTCTGAAGCAGACTAGAAAAGCAGCAATCAGCAAGTTACAGTGTGCTAACTGGTTCTCTTGCCATGCCCAGCCAGGCTCTGCAGGCCACACGTGCAGCCCAGCTTCATGTGGAACCACCTCTTCAAGACAAGAGAAAGGAGAAGGGATTTCTTCCTACCAAGCTTGGGTGCTACCATCCCAAAGGCTCTTTCCACTGAAAGAACGACACCATGCAATACAACGCAATGCATTTAATATGTCAAGGGAAAAGAAACTCATCACCCCCTCCTTTAATACAAGAAGTATTAAGTACACAAGAAGTATATTTTTTTGTTTACAAGATCAATCTCATGTATTGCAAATCATTGCTAATTCAGAGTCATTGACTCAAAGCTAACTAGTAGGACCAAATCTTCAGCCAAACACACAGAAGAGAAACTGGAAATGTACATATTTACTTCCAGACTAGAATGATTCCTTAGAAATTATTTGTGACAGAAGTACTCTGGCAATAGACCTGCCTGAAGTACAGCTGGTAAATCTCAGATATGGGCACAGAAGTCCAGAATGACACTCTCTGCTAGGGATTAGACTACCTAATTGGCAAGATGAAGCCAAACTGGTCGTGGTGATATATTATATCAATCCACCCCACAGCAAGGAATATTTTGGTTTTGACACTTTCACCACACTGTAACCTAGAAGAGACTGACAGCAGCACCTGAAAGATGTAGCCACACTATTAACTGAAAGCCTATGTCAAGACTGACTGCACCAAAGACTCAGCATTTTGACAACTGCAAAGCACTTATCTTTCAATATAGTATAGTAGGAACCTATAAAAATACATAACCTAGCTTCTAACATTAGTGAAACTGGACAAATCTGTGATTTTTTTCGTTTTTAAACAGGAAAGAAAGAGGCTTTATTCCACACACAGTTTTTCACAAGAATTCTTGTGAAAGTCATTATTGATTACACCTTATTAAGCAAGGTTAAGTCCACATCCCATTGCAAAGGGACTATACCTCTGATGAGGTATATACTCTATCAAATAACATACTTAGGTCAGACCTCTGATCAATAGACACAAGAGTTAGAAGCCCTAGCAAATAAATACCAACTATAGGACCTCTCTTTAAGAGTGTTTAAGGTGACTTTCACATGCCCATAACCTCATTCAACACTGGTTACTAACCATCTTAAGCAAAGTCAGTTCCTGGAATAAATCCATGAACAAGAAAAAGAGGAAGGCAGGTTCTTTAACAAGTTGTACCAGGCTTATCTGCTAACAAGGTCAGTGTCTCACCCTCCTCCTAAAATATACTTTACTACTAAACAGCAAATATCTAACTGCTTCAACTAATACCTTACTACTGAAGCAATTAATTTCTGAGGAAAGGATTCAGTAGTACTCATCACAATTATCAATGTAAGCAGTTAAGTAACCCTTGGGTACATCTGTGTCAGAATACTTGCCTGCTTGCAGGGTAGGGACAATCTGCCACTGTTCCAGCATGCACTGGAAGTGACCCAGGGTAGGAGATTAAGGCTGGTGAGAAGTCTTGTGGAGAAGTGATATATTCAGGAGACTGTGCCTGTTGTGACCGCTGTTGCTGCTGAGCCAGCATCTGCTGCTGTAGGAGAGCATGCTGATATTGCTGCACCTAAGATAGATAATGATCATGTTACCAAGTCACCCGGGTCAGCATTAATCTTTTCTGCTAAGTAACAATACCAGTCTTACAGTCAAACACACTAACCACCACCACACTCCAGAAAAACTTGGTAGCTTCAGCAGAAGCAAGAAGCCAGACCTGCCCTAACAGGTCAGTAATACAATTTTTCTCTTCCAATACATTATCCCTTAGATTTTTTGTAATTACTACAAACTGAGCATATGCTACTGCAGCACTAAAAAGTTAGTTTTCATCATACCTTATTCTTAATTATTAATACGAAAATTTCGTAATTGCTCCTGACTTTTGAAAAAACAGATTATGCAGTTTGCCTTCTTGCTTTTAAAGTAGGAATTTCAAGTCACAATGCCTTGTATCACTTAATAGTCTAACATACATTTGTTGCTGTGGTCGCTTGGAAGCCTTAAGCACCAAGTATGTTTCAAATTACTATATACCTACTTAATGAAGTTTAGAATATATCCCATCCAGTTAATACAGAAGTTCAGATAAGCTTCTGCAACCAAGATTGGGTTAACTTTTTTTTCCCCAACTGAGTATCATTTTAGATGCTGAACTCCATGCTATTTACCATATCTACAGCTCATTACACCTACTCACAAACTCCTCTTATTGCATCTTCATAGCAGACTTACAAACACAACACGTATTTTAAGATTGTACTGTCTACGTTCCATTCTTGACATACCATAGCAGGATACTGAGATTGGGAAGGTTGCTGCTGGTACACAGACTGCATCAACAGCTGCTGTTGGACCATCTGCTGGTGCATTGCTTGTTGATACTATAGTTGAAAAGAAGAAAATAGCTTTAAGAAGTCGTGATCTCCCCTTTAGGAATATCCAGATATTTAGAAGCAGCTTCAATTAAAATATGACTTCTGTGACTCAACAGCATTTTTCACTTAAGACATCACATAACCAAGAATCACCTTGCAGTTCAGTCACAGCATTTTAATGACTCTGTGTTTAGAAGCTTTTCCATTTTTCCCCCCAATTAATACCAGCCTGTTTAACAAAAAAATTAAACTATATACTCAGCACTGCCTTTTCTGAGCCTGGCCAATTAACATCCCAACTTCTGTAGTTTTCACCAGTGCTGAGCCACTTTGGAAAATAATTCAGCTGTGCTTTAAAAAAAAAAACCACATCTCAAAATGGGAATAAAAGAGGATAGCAATAGGTGCCTTGGACAGGATCTGAACATTCTTGTCTGACCTAGCTGCTCTCCCATTATGTTTATAGTTCTTCATGCTACACAACTTAAGTGATTATACTTGACAGTATGCAAGCTGAACAGTGTTAGAATACAAGTCATCCACGAAAAATCTGGGTGGACAAAACAATTACAAAAATGAAGCTCTTTGCTGACCAAGAAAAATCAAAGAAAGCAAAACCAGCAAAAAATCCTACTCAGATGGTGGAGATACAACCATCTACTGCAAGCATAGCATCATCACCTAGATAACTCCTAACATTCATCTTAAGCACATTTACACAAAAACCCTTTGTTTGGGCCACATGTTGGTGATTCAAAGCAAACTGGGATTCACAGTCAAACTGAAAAAACAAGATAGCACAAAGAATGCAGCTTTCTAGGGTAAGCATTACAGTGCCTATGAAGAGACAAATCAAAGTTTAAAAGAAGTTGCAGGAGCCATGATCCCTTTATCCTAGCAGGAAAAAACACAGGCCATAACAGCAGAAATGTTTAATTAGGACATAATTCCAAGTGTTATTAATAGGCATAACATGTGTTTCTTAGGTTTCTAACAGATTCAACTTGTACCTGCTGAATGTAAGCATCCTGAACTGTAGGTTGCTGCTGCTGGTGATGCAAATGGTGTAGCTGCTGTAGTCTCCAGTCCCCTTGCTGCAGCTGCTGCAGAACTCTGTTCTGCTGTGGGGGATGCTGGTTGGTCCCTTGGGACTGTAACATTTCTGGCCCATTCCCTGGGCGCATGGCTCCTGTAAGAGTCAGACAACACCATGTATATACTGATCTCTAAAGTTTAGCTAGAGCCCTCCCTGGCAGTTAACCTCTTCATTTAACACTTCAAGGTGAAACAGTTTATTAACTTCCCTTCCCAGTCTGACAACTAGTAGAGCTGGTAGATGCTAAGTTCTCTTCTCCAAAAATACTTACATGCCTGTCAAGGCACAATTTCTACTTACAAGATGTGGGAAGCTTCATTTAGTCTCACAAGAGAGGAAGCTGGGTTCAAGATTTCTGCTTTACTTAAGTGTAAGTTGTACCTTCTACTGTCTCAAACATACATACAGTTTTCTATGCATACAACACGTTCAATGTTTTGAGGGTTGTTTTTTTTTTTTTAAGGGAACTATTAGCTCACTTGTCAAATTCCCTAAACAGAACACCTGATTGATTTTGCCATCCAATTGTTTTTGCAGCCTTTTAAGTAAGCAGTACTAACATAAATCAATCTCTCTTGCATGCTGTATTTATATTCTGAAGTGCCCAGGAATGATCTGTTACTTGTCATAACAGGAAAAGCTTTCCAAGTTGGATGTTATCTGGATCCTACCTAGTAAAAGTTGTTTACACCTGGGACACAAACATTTTGATTGGAGGCTTTCCCAACACCATCCCTGAAGCTACTCTTCCTGTACTGTAACATCACACAGTTCAACTAAGAAAGTACTGGAGATGTAAATGAAAACTATTTAAGTGAATATTTATTGGAGCCATAACTCTTTTTTCAAGGAGATGAAGAAAATCTCAAAGGATTTATTTAAATCCCATTTCACTCGATTGAGCCTCCCTCAATTACTCCTGTTACCCCTCTACTGCACCCACAGTTCAATGTGAAATGCATCAGTCAGTCATTAGAAAAGTTAACTTTTTGCCTGGTTCCAACCTACAAATAATACCAACATACTGTTGATATCTCATGACTTATTGAGGCACAGGGAAAATATTTCTCCTACTACACCATGAGAGCAGTTTGTAACAGAAGAAAGTATTTTTCATGAATTATTTGAAAGTCATAACTGAGCATGAGCTTCTCTCACAACCTGCAGTGGGAAGTTCATGCAAAATCAATGTTAAGCACCAAAAATACCTTCACTTCTCAGCAAATTGCATTTAGGTTTTGTGGCATCTGGTCAAACTTATTTGTACATTTAGAATGCTTCAGAAAGGATGAAGATTTGTGTTTTAGCATATAAAAAAAAGATTAATTTGAGTCTTAAATGTTATCCCTACTAGAGCAAGAAGGAAGAGACAGACAATATTAATTCTTAATTTATTTTGATCTATCCATAGACTTTGTTAAGTTACCTTTTTGCCCACGATTACCAAATTCACCAGGGACTTGTACTTTGACTGGAGTTGCTGAGCTCTGGATCGTCAGCACACTAGAAGTGGCAGTACTTGAATTGGCCTTTGGTCTTTGTCGTGGTGCAATTGAGGTTTCTGTTGGTCCAACAGTATCTGTTATTCTGAAATGGCAAGCATTCCCACAGAAGAGTCATGTTAAAAAAATACTTTCTTCTTCAAATTAGACACAGTATATCTCTTAATAGCTCAATTATGTCTTAACCACGGGCTGCTCTACTTCTGAATTGGATTGTAATACCTTAAAATTTACTTCCTAAATTCCACTCCCCACTCATCGCAGCCATAGCATATACAACTGCTGCAGAACACCATCAAGAAGGAGCTGTGCAATAGTCTTATTCCCAAAGAGACCACGGAACTACACAAAATCTCTCTGTAAAAGCTTTCCTCGCTTCACACTAGTGAGTGAAAGTTATGTCTAGCACTTGAGTCAGCAATCCCATGACCAGAGGTATGATAACTGTTCATACTTAAAAAGGAAATAAGATTATGAAAAAACAGTTAAGTCTACTCATTTCTACCTTTTGTTAGAGATTTTAGCCTCTAGCAGTTATAACACCTATAAACTGCTCAAAAGATTTGCATCTTTCCTGAAGTACTTCAGAGCTATATAATAGTCTGCTGGGTTAATAAAGATGTTCAAAACTGAAGTATTTGTACTTGAGAGCTTTAATGCCATTATCAGGTTACAGTATACACATTTTTTTAAAACTGTCCAACTGCTTAAAAACACTAATTCACGATCTGAGCCATCAGTATGTAACACCCCATATTAATTCCTACCATATTAAGCCACCATCTGCCTTAACCTGCTGTAATTCACAGCCATCGGGAAAATATTATTTAGGAAGAACTATGAACCTTGCTTGGCACTAGATTTCATTGGAGTTTAAAAGATTATTCCATAGAAACTCTACACCTGCTGTACATTACCAACTGACAGCAGAGCCAGCAAAACCAACCACGTCCAGGCCATGACATTACCTTAGAATGGTATGTACATATCTACATAGCTCAAATGCAGCTTGGATGAGCCCATTCATTTGCTTCTCATTCACAATAGGCTAAGGAAGTCAGAGTTGAAATAGAACTCATAGTTACAGCTAAATATAAAAGTACCTAAGTCACACACATTGGTAGATTCAAAACCCAAACAACTTCCATTAAACAAAGAATAGAAGCGTAAAGGATTCTTTCAGCACTAACATTAAGCATACACCATACATCATAGCAGAAGTAAAACAGCATGAATAGGAAATCCTGATGTTAATAAAAACAAGTAAAAAAAATTAGTATAAAAATCAAGAGGTTTTGAAAGAACAAAATCCATTTACTTTCATCAAATTTGATTTGTATATTTAAATAAAATTCCTAAGAACAGTTTATGTGTACATATTATCCTCACCTAACACTGAAATATTTTATTTCAAAATTCACTTATCACACTAAGTGAAAGTAAGACAGATGAGAAACAGACTGCTAGCACTTATTTATTCCACCACAAAACAGGTTCTCATTTTCCCTCCATGGATTCTCAATACAACAAAAAAAGGCAATGGAGTGCAAACCAAAGAGAGACCTGAAGCTCTCAGAATTGCTGTTTATGTGTTCTAATGACCTCCGCTATTAAGGTAATTTTTCATTTATTAACAAGCATAAGAAAACAAGTTTTAGACAAACATGGAGCTTAACAATATTAGCAAAAAAACAAAGTAAAGCCACATTCACTGCTTACCTTGCTTTTATTTGGCTTTTTCTAGCAGCTGCCTCACTAGCTGTCATGGGTTCAGGAAGAGTTGAAGGGATAGGAGAATTCTTGGGAAAAATAAATTTGAATAAATTAAAAACCCAAAATCCTGAAATAAAAAAAATCATTACATATTCAAAACAAACACTTGGGTTCAAGTTTTTCATGTTACAAGGCTTCATGCAGAACTCATACTGCTGCAGATTAAAAGTATTTCAATTTAACAGTATTTCTCTGTTCTTTTACCTGAAGCAAAAGTAAAATAAAAACATTACTGGTCTGACTGTTTTGTCAACTACTTCATTCACACACTACCAACTATCAACAATAAAGTAAAACATTTTCTCCAAATGTTTTCCCATAACTGCACAGATATTTGTTTTATCCTCAAGTTCAGGAATAAATCAAAGCCTAACTTTTGGATAGAACAACAGTAGGGTTTTTTTGTCCATTCAGCTCTTACACCCCAACACAAATTCCAGAAAAACATGCCATATCTAAGCTTCTGTGGTACTTCAACTTAACCCCATCTCAGTCCAATTCCTGAATAAATTACATTTCACCTAAACCACATTTAACCAAGGAAAATAGCAGTTTTGGGGGAGGGAGAAGGTAGATTATCTCATTACACATGCACTGCCTCCTTACATAAACAACACAAATCTAAATTTAGTCACAGATAGTAGAGAAAGTCAATTATCAAATACTGCTTCTGAAGACTATCATCAGTACTGGAATTAGTCAAGACTTAGAGATAGACAGGCATACTTCCAACTTCCTCTTGAAAAGATAAGCTGCTGTCAAAGACCATATTCTGCACTGAGCCAGCCTCCCTTCTAACCTATAACAGTCATTCTTATATTCTCAGGAAACTTCAAGAGGGAGGGGTCAGGGGTGTCAATGTGCACATTTTTGTGCTGCTTTTCTTTGAAGGCAGCCATGGGTGCTAGAGGGGCAAGCACTACCAAAGGAAATCAACAGAAACTAGGGCACAGACTGTTGCTTTTACTGCTGTTTTAACACATCAGTGGAAAACACATACACACCAAACAGCTTCACTTTGTAAGAATACTCCAGGTCCTTCTACTTTTCTATGTCTGTCTCAGGGCAAAGGCTAAGTAAGCAGGCAATTCCTATTTGTAGGGGCAGGGAGAAAATCAATCAAGTAACAGAGACATTTTCAAGTCACCTGAGCAAGATGATACTACTCCTCCAATGAGTAACAAAGCAAATTCCCAAATTATGTTACATCAAGTTATGCTTCTGTTTCAGGATAAAGTCTTTGCATGAAAATACAGTTATTGCACCTCCTATTCACACATTACAACAGCGTAATGCAAAACCATTCAAACCACTTGAAATTTAGCCTTTACCTAGTAATAGCAAGTACTTCAAGGTTTTCTGCTTTACTTAAATTTCCAGCACTCACATTTACTGGGCACCTCCTTCTACAAGGATCAATGATAAAGGAATTCAAAGGGATCCCACTAACTTTATTCATCTCTGAAGGCAGAGTTTATTATAATTGACATTAGTGCCAAAATGAATTTTGAGACTGATTTTTCCGGATGCTTATCTTGAGAATCACTTTAAAATACTGGACATTATTGATGTGCCCCCAAATTCTATTGCACAATAATCAGATCTGTGAATGAGATGATCTTTGAAAGTTCAGACTTTCAACCGAAGTTCAAACTCGCACGGAAAGTAAGGGTAAGAATGCAGGCTAACCAAGGCACTATTCTGTTTGCCTTCCAGTTCACTGTAGTCCTTCCAATGGATTAAAATAATTGTTAAAGATGATTAAGAAAAAGGGTTTATCCAGAACATAAATGCTCTTCACACTACAGTGACAACATTAAACCTTCTATTGTCAAACAAGTTTAAGTTCTGTAGTATATTTCACATTAATTGTATTGGACAAGAGATTAGTAATGGTTAAAACCGTAAGTCAAGTATTGCGGCAGTATCCATGTAATTCATAGAGCAATCCTTCAAAATTAAAAAAAATACTTTGTTTAGAGAGCTAATGGCGCATGTATGCAATAGCAGGTTAAAGAGTACTCTGCTCTATGTTTTAAATATGAGCAAGGTTTATTAAGAAATTGATATAATCTCTCAGGTGATTTGATAGCTTTCTCTCAATGCTACCTACAATATACACTAAAAATATGGAAAAAAATTCAAGACTACTTACATTAATATTAGACACTGGACAATCCTTTTTGGCATGTTTAAAGGCAAAGGAAGATACTTGAAAGATATCAGGCCTCTGTTCTTGATCTGGTTCAAGCATATATCCTGCAGAAATTGATAAGACCAAATTATCACTGTTGGATATCAAAAAGCCTGTTGAGACAGCATGCCACCAGCAAGAAGAAATTCAGCAGCTCTGCCAAATGAGTTTACCCCAGAAAGAGTAATTTATTATATTGGTGGTTTGGATTTTTTAAATACTTTTTGTGAAGTCAAATTGGTTTTAGAGTCAAATACAGTTGCAGGAAATGTATGCTGTTTGATATTTTAACAGTTGTGGAAAGGGCAGCTAAACTTATGTAGTGATTAATAACTTCAAAAACAACAAAAAACCAACGTATATTACTAGAATCTTCTAAAGTTAATATAAAATTCACTGTAGCTAACAAGTTTCACAGATTGATGTAACTGCATCTGGCTATGGTTCTACATCTTTTGGCTTACAGGTTAAGTTGGCTATACACATTTTTGCATATTAAAAAAAAAAAAATAGTCCCACAATAAAAGACAAGAATTTCTGATGTCCCTTTCAAACATTACCTTCCCAAATTATTTTTCAAACAGAAGTAACTTAAGATTATTTACAGTATGACACAGAGGACAACCCAAAACCTTGCTTAAGTAACTGAAGAATCTAAATAAATGGTGAAAGATATTTTCTAAACAAGCCACGCCTCCAAAAATATGTTCAGCTACTTAAATTTCCTTAAGTTCTTGGTTTTGATGAAAAAATTGCACTACATTTCCAAAACTGTCCAGTAGTTCAGCCAACCTTAAACTAAAGTTTTGTAAAAAGAAATATTTTTTAAAAACAAATAAAATTTTAGATAGATCTCAGAATTTTACTCAAAGGCATTATTTCATGGCCAATGTAATTCATAGCATGTTTTATTTTTAATGGGTTTTACAAAACAGAGCAGATATAAGCTTGCAGTGACAGCACCATTGAGTGGAAACAGAATATATATGAATTGACAACTCTCTGCCACTTGATTCTGAAATGTTAGATTTATGAAGTGGAGAATGTTCAGCTTGTCACTCCCCACCCCCCACCTTGTGAAAGAGCTGAGACAAAGCCAGAAGTCCCTGAAATACCTTTTATGACCAGCTGCAGCTTTTTTTGGCTTCCATTCCAAATGGAAAGAAGGGAACTTTACATTATGAAATTCTTCCCCACCCACACATATTCCATGCCAGTATTGCTCATCTTGGCACAGCAGTTCATTGAATCTTAATAAATCAGCATTCATACTTATAAGGAGACAGGATTAAAACCTGTACTCTTCTAAAAGTAGCACTGTGACACAGAGAAAAGTATTTAATCACTTCAAAATTAATCTCATTTTGGCACTTAAGTATGTGCAGAAGGTAAACGCTTACCATGGTAACTGCTATTTCTCAGTTATGAATGTGTGCTCAAAAAAGTGGTATAATAGGAAATACCAAATCCAAACAACAGCATAAACTATGTGGTCAACTTAAATTATATAAGCTCCTATTCAAGTGTTCTGAATTTTTCATATTCTGTCAGTCATACTCTGTCAAGTTAACCTGCTCAAAATTGAAAACTAAGACAAGTGAAAATGCTCATTATTACTGTAAATATTAGATCCTGTATCTTTGTACCTGGATAACAATAAACACTAGCCTCAGCCTGCTGTTTTCCAAAATTTTCCTTCATACTCTGTGCTTTCAAAATTTTGTCAGAGTTCATGTCCAGCACTTTTGGTTACACAAACTTGATCTGATTTTTGTTCTGTTATAAACCACAAAACTACTATCAAATTCTCCCCAGTGCAACTAATCTCAGTACATTTATGTTTCTACACTACACCTGCACTTCAAATTCATCTAAGCACAACTGCCCAACTTAGAAAATACTGTTAACAGTCTGACATTCCATAGAAAATAAACAAGAGCAAAAAGGAAATATGAATAAATTAAGAACTATTCCTTTCCTTCCCCTTACCCCTCTGTGGGGTATCACCTAAGGAAAAAAAAAAAATCATCCAAGCCTCTCAAAGAAATCAAAAAGTTCTTTTAACTTCACCAAAGGTTTTCTGAGCTGAGAGGAACAATTTTATCCAGATAAATAAGAGTAAATTTAAACAATTTAGTCTTACCAGTGTTTTATTCCATTTCAATTCAAAGGTTACCAAACCCATTAAATGGCCAGAATACATCAGCCAATTTTAACATGTCACCTGTTCAGGAGAGAGATTTGTCTGTACTTCTTCCACCTGGCTCACTTCTAGCACCATTTCAAAGATGTTTCCTCTAGGTTTCTGAAATTCCTCTCTGGGTTGGCACCTCAGTTCCATACCCTGTGGTGCAGTCATCCATTGAACAAATGGATAAGCAAGCCTCCTTTCAAGGATAAGAGCAGGAGTTCCAAGACAGATAGTAGCCATGAGCAACTCCCACTGTTCACTCAAGAACCTAGCCAGTCTATACCATCCATCCAAGCACTCGCCTACATTAGCAGGATCTTCTGTGTTTTATTTGATTTACAAGGCAAAATCATCACCATGCTGCCCAGATACTTACTTATCAAACAGTGTATACTATGGGAGTATCGAGAATTGTCTGGAATGGTAAAGCTTCCATCGCAAATAGCAACTTGACTTTCTCCAAAGGGAAGTGAGAAGAAACAAAGTTTATACAGCAAGCAGCCAAGTGCCTGCAAAAAAAACCAAATACAGGCACTGTAAAGGAATGAGAATAAGCCTTTTATACAACAAAGCAGCACCAACAAGAAACAAATTGCATCCTAGCTACGGCTGATGCTTACACTGTTATGTAGAAGTTGCATTACGAAACACTGTGTTCATGTGACAAGTTGATATATAAAGCAGCTCTAAAAAGGCTTTCTTTCCCACTGACTCTTATGTTAGGCAATGAACTACCAAAATTAGAGCATACCCAAGGGCTGCATTCACATTGTTGTATCATTCAGAGATACCACTAGTGTTTCCACTGAATTTAGTCTTTATTTACTTCACACTACTTAATAAAAATACCTTTCCTTATCATGCCACCCACAGGTTTCCACAAGAAATCACTGGTCACTATCAAGTAGCAACCTGAGCAGACAAAACGGAAGAAAATTCTAAATCATGTCCTCCTTAACTCAAAACAATCATCACATACAGCATTCGTTTTATTTACAGAAGACACAACTACCAAAGATACCTGTACCATATTCTGTATTGTACAGCTGCATGTTACATTTCACTTTCAAAGAATTACTTTTTTAGTTAGTCAGTGATGCTTTTAACTTCCACCACCACCACCACCTTAATTCATATTTCATAGTATCTGATTTTTTGCTTACCCAGATATCTGCCTTGGTAGTAATTGGTTTTCCTCCATAAAGATTAATCATCTCAGGAGCTCTGTATGATAGCGTCGTATACCTAGCAGTATATAATTAGAATAGGACAAGAGATGAAAAGTGTGCCCCAGAACTGAAAGTGTGTTTCCCTGCATCTGCCATACATACACCATTCACACCCAAGTTTGAGATACGCACTTGGAATTGTCTTAAGCAATGCAAGCCATTTATTGCATTTGCAGCATCACAGAGTATCTGGAGTAGCCACCAAAAATTATCATACACATTAATAACGTTAAAAGCAAATTTTAGCTAATATTTATTTCCCCAGCACATGTCTTTTGCAAGTCACTTGGCTTAAATAGTGCAATAACCCATTATTTGAAAGATGAAATATAAGAGTCCTGCAGGGGTATCCATTATCACATCCTGAAGCATACAGAAAATAGACTTCAAAAAACTAACATCTTAAATAATTACTACACTGATAGTTAAAATATCTGTCAGAGCTGGAAAAAAAACCCATATCATTTTAAAACTTGTTAACAAGTAGTTTGTATTTATTCCTATGCAGCAGTTACCCTGAAGGGGCAAAACCACACTAGGACATATTTTCAGGAGTGTGCCTCTAATAAAATTTGAAATATTTTTCTTATCAGTCTTAGGATAATGAACATGAACCTTACTCTATAAGTAAGATTCTATGTAAACCCACTTCAGCACTTACTTACATCAGTTCTTTCTCTCTCATACCATTAGTTGTATTAAAATAAAACAAACTCAAAATATGAAACTTCTGAAATGGCCAGTAGCCATACATATGTTCAACAACTGATTTTCAAAACAGCATGCTTTTTTCCAACAGTTCTATTCTGAAGAGTCTCGGTTTTACAAAAACAATTTGTGAATAAATGGAAGAAAATCTACTTTACCAAATATTTCCACTGTTTTACTATATTTATGTCAACATTAGTTCAAAGTCAATCATTAATTTAAATTCATATTAATACAAGATACACGTACACTGCACAATAATACTTGAGAGTTTCCTAGCAGCACAATCATTGTTTACCATCGCCACTTAAAACTGAACTTACTTTTTAATTTCTTCTTCAACCACATTAACACCATCTTTTTGAGGATTCAGATATTTGTTGGTAGCACTGCCAAAATCACAGAGAACATAGTTCCCATTATCGTTTAACAATATGTTCTCCACCTTGAAAGGAAATCAACACACAGAAACATTAGATGAAAATAATTACATTTATTTCCAAGTGAACTGTTACTACCCATTCTCACACACAAACAGGAAAGTTTTCTGAAAAATCAATTAATAGAGTTGGCATTAGCAGTAAGTGATGTCTTACAGTTTAGTTTCTCTGTTTACAGCTCCACCAACAGCAAGTGCCCCCCTAATTAGAAGTCAGTCAGTGAAATACCTCCTATATTCTCAGTCCTTTTTAAGTAGGCCATTGATTTTAACCTAGATGTTCCTTTTTATGAAATTCATACCTTTAGATCCCGGTGAACTATAGGTGTTTTGCACTGATGCAACCGGGCAACAGCTTCACAGGTATCACAAAATATTCTCATTACTTCTGACTCAGTAAAGCCTGTCTGCAGACGCTGATTCATTTGATTCACAACTTGCCCAGCTAAAGGAACAAGGTAATTATTTAATTGTCTTTTTTAGTAATTCTTATCATGTACAGAGACTTACTGATATGCACAAAGTCCACAAATAAGACACAAGGAAGTCTTCCACAGTTGCTGTATTTAAATAAATATGTGTTTTTATTTAAATAAATAAATGTTTTTCCAAATGTGCACTCTTGTATCATCCTACATAGAAAAATTATTGTCTCAAGTGAGGGGAAAAAAAGTCCCTATGACTGAAACCTGTTCGGGACAAATTGTCACAAACATCTAACACAAAAATAGCAGAAGGAGAATAGCAGTGAAAAATTTGCCAATCTTTCCTATTTAATTACGTTCCAGCTACATGTCGATTAGCACAAAGAGCAAAACACTTTCACTTTATACTTATACAATTTCCTCATTTCTAATCATATTTAATTAAAGCCATGTGAAACTTTTTTTACATTTTCTCAGTGTTCAACAGCTCAGTGCCGAAGTAGCAAACACAAACAGAAAAGCAAAGAGCTAATTAGATTCCAGCTGTGAGATTATATATATATATTAACCTTTTATTTTAAGTGAACAATTCTAACTAAAAATCCCAGGCGATAAGCAAAAACATTTTCCCTGCATTTACTCCAAAAATCTAAGACATGTCTCTTACCTCGACAGTACTCCATGAGAATGAGTACCTCCCAAACGTTATCACTTATAGTGTTAACAGCACAATCCAAATAGCTCACAATATTCTTGTGCCCAGATAACTCTTTCTGAAAAAGAAAATGCACACTGCATTTCAGCAAAGAAATATGTAAACAAAGATAAGATAGTACAAGTTTTCAGACAAGCATTTAAGATTTCAAGTTAGCCTCTGTCCCACATCCACTACTCTTGAGAAAGGAACTGCAATCACTGAATATAAGCTTCTTCCTGTCAGCAATGCTAGAGTGACTGCTACATATCAAACAGAATGCAATTACTATTCAGAAAAAAAAAAAACAAAAACAACATTTACGTGTTTCTTGTTGGACAGTGCAAACAAACATGAATTGCTGCATTCTAAAACAATGTTTTGAAGCAGTAATAGCTATAGCCTTTATGTGCAACAGATACAGAAGGATCGAGCTACTCATGCCCATCCTAAGCTAAATTGAAAATCCATCTATCAGTTATTAAAAAAGATATCTGGAAAAAAGCCACAACTTCTGTAGTCTGAACTATTAAAAGTTTTAACAGAAGAGCAACTGAAGGTGTCCCCAAAGGAAAAAAAAAACCAAACACCACACAAAAAAACCAAACAACTTCCAAGAGCCATTTTATATATAGAATTAAGCAATGCTTATTTCACATGACAACTATACAAGTGTTGTCATCTGTACTACAGTTTCTGCCTATAAAATAACTTAATCCTAACATAGAAGTGCTTCATATCAGATAATTAAATAGGTTCTGCTATGATTAGAACACATGTAAGATAGAAGTGTATGGAAATAAATAGTCTGCTATCTGCTGGAAGGCAATACAACACATTTTCTCTTGCCTAATCAGCAACTGGGGTTTTTTTGTTTTGGTTTGTTTATTTTAATTTTTTTTTTAACCTGTCAAGTAATCATAAACCCAAGTGTGTCTGATGAAACCTTCTACTTTCCCCTTACTTGCCAGTCATCTGCTGAAAAACAACAGAAACTATGATAACGTAGGGGAGTTCAGCTATGTACGTACCAGTTACCTAAACACTAGACTAACAACTTCAAGAAGGTTCTTAAACCTACTCAGGATGACAATACTTGGGGAAGCCATCAGCAGCATCATTCAGCAAACAGAGCTGTGGCACACAGAAGCCTTAAGAATTTGAGTTGCCACTGCAGAACTGGAAGAAATTACTTTCACTTGGGAACCAGATGTACTGGCCAAATTGACCATGCTATCAAATACATTTCTAACAACTGCTTTAGAAGTTTATTACACACCAACCCTATTATGCACCAACTCAGTTTATTACACATCAATTCAGCATTCATTTCTGAAACAGTGCAAAGTCAGGACTGCAAGGTCAAAAGAAAATTGTCACTGAAGAGATCTTTCATGTACATTACAAATTAATACATTCTTCAGTTAAAAATAATGGGCTTCTTACCATAATTGTGATTTCTCTCTTGCATATGTTGAGGTCTGGCACATTATTAACATACATTCGTTTCAGTGCGCAACGTATCCCACCATGGGTACGTACCAGAAACACAGTTGAGAAGCCACCTGGAAAAAACAATTACAAGCAAATGAAGCTACTTGAGTTTTTGCTATTCCTCTAGCCAGCATCACTACACACTAAAAAATTAGTAAGAAAGTCTGTGTCAGTCATGGAGTGAGGGAGTAATTGACACTTAAAAAGTTGAATATTTCCCACCTCAGTCCATTTCATATAGGTGAAGTACTCTTCACAAAAACATAAGGATACTACTATTTTGTTACAATATTAAACAAACGTGTTTTAAAAGCATTTTCACATTCAAATAAACTTATAAAGCCTAGTGCAAACTATGTATTCAGGTGTCAGTCCTGAAGTACTTTCAGAGTCATCCAAAAACCTGAAAAAAGTGACAGTATTCTCCAGAAATTCATAATTTCTAAGTCTCCCAGATCTTGATAAAGGTTATGCCATACACCTACATTTAAAAAAAATCTAAAAATAAAAATACTACGAGAAAGTCTTGAGGGATACTGAATTAGTCATGCAACTTTTCAGCATCACCTAAAGACAGCTAGAATATCACTGCAGTCACAGACACTGCAAGCAATCAGCTGTTTTTAAACACATACTAAATACAGAGTTAAGAACAAAACACCTTCCCACAGTTAGTCCTATCAGAAGTCCAACAGCAGCATGAACTGCGAGCCATATACTCGAACCCACCTCTCAGCTTCCCAAAATGAAGTTTTTCTTCTCTTCATTAGTAGAGAATAATCATGCAGACTGGAATTATACACAGAAGCAAAGTGAAACAGCCTACACATAAAGTACTTCCAAACACTCAGGCAAATGAAAGGGAAAAGCAACACTCTCCTGTCTGTCTTCTGTTAGTCTTAACTACTGCTCAAGGCCTCAAGCAGATTATAGCAGCATCACCTCAAGGTTCACACGCACAGCTTTCCCACAGTTTTAAGAAATGTGCCACATAGAAGAGCTCACATAAATCCATGCTTTCCTTAATTGATTGCTATCTGATGGTAAGCCAACTATTACCATGGGAACTTTTAATTAGTGCAAACACTCAGGTATACAATCAGGACAAAGATATAAATTAGAACAATTAACTACTCCGATAATCAGGCAGCCAATTGAAATGCATGTGTTTCATGTTTCCTGATATGATCTGCAAGCAGCATTTAAGTATAATACACCTTATTTGACACAAGCCTCGTGTGCTTGAACAAATGTGCAAGTAACAATTCACAACTAACTGAAGAAGCTAAATTTTATCAGAAAAGTTCCTGAATATTAAATAGCTATTATTTTTTAACTTAATTCCTCATTTAGCTAAATGAGATGCCACGCTGTCAAAACAGAATTACTGCCAACTTTAATACAAAAGCCTAAATTCTGCAAAATTATTATACTCAACCCAGTTTACATAGGGCCTTCCCAAAACATTAATAGGACACCCTCTCAAGCTTCTCAAGTTGTAATGCCAAGCTCCAGCTGAGGTTGAAACGATCCTATAGGGCTCCTCTAATACCAGCCTGGGGAATTACATTAAGAGTGATGTGAAGACCTTCATTAGTGGAAGAATTTTTGTACTACCCTCTCAGTAAAGGCACCTCTTTTTTAAGCACCAGTACTTGACCAAAAAATACAAAGCAGTACTCGGGTAAAGCACAAAAGTCTAACAATTAGGAGACAAAAATAACCTCTTGGCTTTTTAACAAGTTTTATAGCCTTAAAATTCTCTGTGACTAGCAGGAAAACAAGAACAAAATGCCTCATTTCAAGTTTCCCCAACAATTGTTTTTATGTAACCAAAGCAGACTTGACTGGGTAAAGACAATCAATCATTAGGAAGTGGGAAAAAAATCTAAATACTCAGACAACTGCTCTTCTTGCCATTAGGTGGCAATATTAACCAATACTCGAACCCTGAAAGAGCCATAAAAGCAGACCTATTTTACCAGTAAGTATGTATGTAACCTTGAATGGATTTCCATTAATAAATATCACTGCTATAAAAATCCTTTAAAAGAACCAAATCGCATAACTGTGAAAAAAACATGAATAAGTATATAAATATTTACAGGAAAATTAAGTCACCAATCTACTGGGAATCTTGATCCAACAAAACCCTGAAAAATTAAACTTTAAAGCTTTTTTTCAGTTGTTTCTGATGTTAAACTTCTCACTGAAAGCACCAAAGCAAGCAATAATCAGTGCTAAAACATTCATAAAAAACTCTTACTAAACATTGTTATCCAGAGTCAGGGGAAGGAGTTGGGTACATAAATGGCCTTGTCCTATACAGAAACACCACCAGAAATGAGCAGTTGCTTTGCCCAGAGATTGCTGAACAGAACTACACTTCTACATATTTCTCAGCACAGGAGCTGCATTTCACAAACACTTTCAGAAGCTGAAAAAAATCTTCTGTTATTTCCACTCAGTTTTCCATAATACAACCCATACAAAACAAGCTTAAAACAAAACTGTCATAAGCTATGACACATAAAGGAGGTTCCAGATATTAAGCCACCACCTTCTCTACACACTTCCATTCACAGAATCATCTAGGTTAGAAAAGACTTTTAAGATCATCCAGTCCAACCATTAACCTAACATTAACAGTTCCCAACTACACCAGATCCCTCAGCACTCTGTCAACCCGACTCTTAAACACCTCCAGGGATGGGGACTCCACCACCTCCCTGGGAAGCCCATTCCAACACTCAACAACCCGTTCTGTAAAGAAATGCTTCCTAATATCTAGTCTAAACCTTCCCTGGTGCAACTTGAGGCCATTCCCTCTTGTCCTATCGCTTATCACTTGGTTAAAGAGGCTCATCCCCAACTCTCTGCAACCTCCTTTTAGGTAGCTGTAGAGGGCGATGAGGTCTCCCCTCAGCCCCCTCTTCTCCAGACTAAACACCCCCAAGTTCCCTCAGCCGCTCCTCGTACGACCTGTGCTCCAGACCCTGCACCAGCTTCGTTGCCCTTCTCTGGACACGCTCAAGTCATTCAATGTCTTTTTTGTAGTGAGGGGCCCAAAACTGAACACAGGAATCGAGGTGCGGCCTCACCAGTGCCGAGTACAGGGGTCAGATCCCTTCCCTGTCCCTGCTGGCCACGCTATTGCTGACACAAGCCAGGATGCCATTGGCCTTCTTGGCCCCCTGGGCACACTGCTGGCTCCTGTTCATCAGGCTGTCAATCACTCACACACACACACACACGGGCAGCCCCCGGCATTTGGCCTTATGGAAACTCCTCCAGTTGGTCTCAGCCCATGGCTCCAGCCTGTCCAGGTCTCTCTGCAGAGCCTCCCTGCCCTCGAGCAGATCAACACTCCCACCCAACTTGGTGTCATCTGCAAAGTGAGGATGCACTCAATCCCCTCATCTAGATCATCAATAAAGATGTTAAACTGGAGTGGCCCCAAAAACTGAGATCTGGGGAACACCACTCGTGACCAGCCACCAACTGGATTTATCTCTGTTCACCACAACTCTTTGGGCCCGGCCATCCAGCCAGTTTTATCTAACTAAGTGTATGCACATCCAAGCCACAAGCAGCCAGTTTTGCCAGAAGAATGCTGTGGGAAACAGTGTTAAAGGCCTTATGGAAGTCAAGGTAGACAGCATCCACAACCTTTCCCTCCTCCAATAAGCAGGTTGTCCTGTTGTAGAAGGAGATCAGATTTGTCAAGCAGGACCTGCCTTTCATAAACCCATGCTGACTAGACCTGGTTCTTTACCACCCATCACAATTCCGGCTGCCTTCTTAAATTCCTGATACAGTCAAGTCACAACTCCCCCACAGCACACCACAAGTACCTCCCCATCTTCCCACAGACAAGAAGTGCTGCAGTTGGACCCTTGACAGGCATGCAGGCATTAACTGACTAGCACATATTCTTCACTTATTGGGCAGCAAGCAACAGCTTTGCCAACTTTGAGGCCTTTTCATCAAAAAGCAACATAACTTTGGGTGGTCTTATTTATGAGAGCATCAAAATTTACAGCACCTTTGTTTAAAAATTGACAGAATGGGCACAAGCGACCAAGTGTAATAACCTAGCAAACTGCATACATGCTCAGGCTGTCTGCAGGTTTGGCAATACAATTCTATGAACCTCATCACCCTTAGCTACTTCATTATTTCAGTGTAGCAAGTCCTTTAGCTTACTTGTCAGTAAATAATTTTAGACACCATCTAAAAATTGCCACTAACATATTCAAGACAACCATACATAAGGCTACCAGGCATAGACAGAGAACATAACATCACAGTCCCATTTTTGACACCTTTGTTCCATATCCTCAAGAACCAACTCAAATGTAAATTGAAGGGCCACAGAAAAAGCAACTACAGAAACCATAGGGTAACAGTCAGCACTCCAGACCTGAGCATGGGACTGACTGCACTTCTGAGGACACTCAAGTGCAAAGCAAAAGCATACACACAAAAAAGTAGTACCTTTTCACATGGTGACAGCAGCACTGCATTTAGCCAGCCTGTTGGCCTACAATATTGTTGGCCTACAATAACTTTTCAAGAATATCCCACAGCCTTGCTGAGTGTGAATCAGTGAGGCACTACATCTGTGGGCCTCACAACCAAGTCTCATCTGTTACACTCTGACCTTGCCACAGAGAGCCATCAGGATGCTATTTTCCCCTCATAATACAGACATACTTCTAGCGGTGTGTTGTACAGTTTGAAATCAATTATCTCTATACCCTTTTCCAGAGTTGACATTTTGTACTGGTTTTAGCTGGAATAGAGTTGAATGTCTTCACAGTAGTTTATATGGGGCTATGTTTTGGATTTGTGCTGGAAATAGCCTTGATAACACACTGATGTTTTAGTTACTGCTGAATGGTGATTATAGAACACCAAGGCTTTGCCTGCTCTTCACACTACCCAACCCACCAGGAGGCTGAGGGTGCACAGAAAGCTGGGAGGGGACATAGCCAAGACAGCTGACCCTGAATGACCCAAAGGATATTCCAGAACATACAACATGGTGCTCAGCAATAAATGCTGGGGA